CTGCAAATAGTGATAATTTAAGTTCTTCTTTTCCTATTTTTATGCCTTTAATTTCTTTCGTCTGTCTAATTGCTCTGGCCAGTATTTCGAGAACTATATTGAATAGAAGTGGTGATAGAGGGCATCCCTGTCTTGTTCCAGAAAAACTGAGTCATTTCTACCAAGCCCCTATCAATATATAGTCACATCACTAGCTTGGTATATTCTTCCACATTTTAAAAGATAATTGCTAATATTTATATTTATTCTTGTAACAAATGCAGTATCATACATACATTCTATCTTTTTTCTTTTTTTTTTTTCGTTGAGGTGTTCTTCCGGGGGTTGATCTCAGGAGCACTTGGCCACTGAGCCACATCCCCAGGCCTGTTTTTTGTATTTTATTTAGAGACAGAATTAGAATGAAACACTGAGTTGTTTAGTGCCTCGCTTTTTGCTGAGACTGACTTTGAACTCGCCATCCTCCTGTCTCATCCTCCAGAGCCACTGGGATTACAGGCATGTGCCACCGTGCCAGGCATACATTTTTCTTTTTTAAAAGTTATTATAACTGGGTGCAGTGACACACATCTGTAATCCCAGCAACTCAGAAGGTTGAGGCAGGAAAATCACAATTTTGAGACCAACCTCAGTGGCTTAGTGAGACCCTAAGCAACTTAATGAGACCTTGTCTCAAAATAAAAAGGGCCAGGAATAGCTTCAGCAACTTAGCAAGGCCCAAAGGACTTAGCAAGACTGTCTCAAAATAAAACATAACTACCCAGCTCAATAGTTAAGCGACCCTGGGTTCAATTCCCAGTACCAAAACAAAAATCTAGAAAGTGGTTCAGATGGCATATAGCTATAACACAGCTCGTTGGGAGGTTGAGGCAGGAGGATCACAAGTTCACGGCTAGCCTCATTAACTTAGCAAGACCCTGTCTCAAAATGTTAAAATGTCAAAATAAATGGACTGGGGATTTAGCTCAGTGGTAAAGTGTCCCTAGGGTCACTTGCCATGCGTGCTTTACCACTGAGTTATATCCCTATCCCCCCTCCTTTTTAAAAAAAAATTATAAAAGTAATACTGATGTGCTGGGTGTAGTGGTATATGTCTATAATCCCAGCAGCTAGGGAGTCTGAGGCAGAATGATCAAGAGTTCAAAGCCAGCCTCAGCAATGGCAAGGTGCTAAGCAACTCAGTGAGACCCTGTCTCTAAATAAAATACAAAATAGGGCTGGGGATGTGGCTCAGTGGTTGAATGCCCTGGGTTCAATCCCCAGTACCAAAAAAAAAAAAAAAAAAAAAGTAATTCTTGTTGATTATAATACTTTCAAACAGAATAGCAAGGGCTAGGGTTATAGTAGCTCAGTGGTGGAGTGCTAGCCTAGTGTCTGGGAGGCAATGGGTTAGATTTTCAGCACCACATAAAAAGTAAATAAAATAAAGGTATTGTATCCATCTACAACTTAAAAAAAAAAGACTAGGAATATAAAAATGCAAAGTTTTCTAGTCTTCATAATACCAAAAATAACTGTTGATAGTTTAGGGTGTGCCTTCTAGACATCCTCAAGTATACTTGTGTGTTTATATATACACACACACCCATTTATAAACTTTGTTTTTACACAAGTAAGTTCATAAACACACTTTTCTGCAGCCTGATCCTTTAAAAAAACATTTATTTTGTTATGGAAAAAATATAAATACAAAAATAGACTAATTTAAGTCCCTATTCATCATCTAGCTCCAACAACCAACTTCTTTGTTTTTCTTTCATCTTTTTTTTCCACTTTCATTTTCCCCCTAAAATATTTTTTAAACTTTATTTTATTTATTTGTTTGTATGTGGTTCTGAGGATTGAATCCCGTTCCTCACCTGTGCTAGGCGAGTGCTCTATCACTGAGTTACAATCCAAGTCCCTCCCCCTAAAATATTTTAAAGTAAATACCAAACATCAGTGTTTCATAAATACTTCAGAATGTATCTCTAGGAATTCAAAAAAGAGAACTTTTTTTGAAAAGTTACATAATAGTGTAGTCATACCCAACAAAATTAGCAATCATTCTGTCAAGGAAAAAAAAATTGAATAAATGGAATAGCATTTGTTTGAGACACTGAAAACGGAATCAGGAGGTCATTATTCATCAGATCTCAGATACTTCTGCAGCGGCAAATACACCCACCTCCAAATTGAGTTGACCTTTGAAACATACAGTGAACTCCTTTCTCCAGACTACCCAGAGGTTAAGATTACACATAATCCCCTTCTAATTAAATAGCTTGACTTATGCCAGCATCGATCATAATTCCTGACTAATAATGTAATTTCCAATTCCCTTGTAGTTTAAAGCTATAAATATAGCTGCTATTTTGTAAAACCTTTGAGCATATTTTCAGGACTGCTTAAATCTGTTTTCTTAGATTGTAATCCTCATTAGCCCCAAATAAATGTCTTTTTTTTTATTGTTAACTAGGTTGATTTTATTGTCAGTCATTTTACAAGTATAATTTAATAGTTGGTTTGTTTGAATCTGGTTCCAGTAAGGTCCACATACTGCAAGTGGTCTGGTATATCTCATATCTCAATTTGTTAACTCTGCTCCCTACCTATATTATTTAACTTTTGGAGAGCTTGGGCTACTTAGCCTGTAGAAGTTCCACATTTCTGGATTTGGCTGAATATATTCTCCAGAATTGTTTAATACATGCATCCTTATTTTCCATAAATGGGTTCAATAATTCATTTTTGTGGCTTCGTTTGTGGTTTGTTTTTGTTTTTAATGTAGATGGACACAATACCTTTGTTTTGTTTATTTAGGTTTTTTTTTTTTGTTGTTGTTGTTGTTTTGTTTTATTTTTAATGTGGTGTTAGGGATCGAACCCAGTGCCTCATACTTGCTAGGCAAGTGCTCTACCACTGAGCCGTAACCCTAGCCCTATAGTTTGTGTTTTAAGGAAAAAATGCTTCCTTGTTGATGCTGTGTATTTCCTACTGCATCATGTTAGGAGGCTGTTAAAATTGGTGAGCCTGACTGTACTTCATCTGTTTACAGTTGTTCTTAATTTTAAAAGATAAAATTTTTGAACAAGGAAACACAGGCTAGGGACATAGCTCAGTGCTAGAGGGCTTGCCACCCATGCATGAGGCCCTGGTTTCCATCCTCAGCACCTCAAACACAAAACAAAAAGGAACATACATCGGTCAAGTACTCAGGGTTGTTGAGCTGGAATGACTAGAAAAGAAGGCTTAGATTCTAAGAGAGCAGATGTATATGTAGAAGGAGAAGGTTTCTTGGTCAGAGAAAAGGTTTTGGAACCGAGGCCAACAAGGCACTGGTACTGTCAGCAGCCAACTGTTCTTCTGGGACTTCATGTTAAATGATGTAACTGAGTGAAAAAGTGGCGGTGAGTCGGCTTCCTCTCCCTGTTCAAATCACTGAGCTGCTGTCTTATTGAGAGATRCTCATGAGCCTGCTCTGTGAAGACTCAGTGGAAGGCTTCTTGATCTGAGAAGACTGCAGCTTTTTGATCCTTATCTTCTTGTATTTTGGAAGCTAAAATCAGGGTGGTCCCTTGGTGCTACATTGGTGAGTCCTAGACGTGTGGAGGAGCCGTCTGCTTTGGAGAAAGTAAGTGAGATGATCCAGAGTGGCAGTCTAAGAGCTAGAAACAGTATTTAGAAGACCATGTAGTCCAGTGCCTCATTTTATAGTGAGAAGAGTATGGCCAGAAAAGGGGAAGGGAGATTCTCAAAACCACTAGCAAACTGGAGGTTTTGCTGAGGCCAGCATCCAAGCCTTCAGTTCTCTGACTATGGTAGTCAGCCCACATTTTCTGCTTAGAATTTTTGAGATGATTAGGATAGCCAGATCTGGCTCCTGACAGATTCTTCTGGATATCCCTTAATGTTTCATCATCCTTGCTTTCCTGCTGAGTTCTTTGACTTGGAAGTGGTAGTCAACAGTGGTCTGTTTCTAATGGCCAGCTTGCTCTATGGTGGTACAGTGATCTGAATACAAACAGGGTATCATGAATCCCAGTCTCAGCTCTACAGTAGTCAGGCTGCATTTTCCTGAAGAGAGTGGATCAGATCAAGATTACCCAGAATGGGGCTGGGGTTGTGGCTCAGCAGTAGAGAGCTTACCTAGCACATGTAAGGTGTTGGGTTCCATCCTCAGCACCACATATAAATAAATAAATAAATATTAAGAAAAAATTACCCAGAGTATATCATGAGTGTGACTTTAGGTGATGAGGGTAAAAATTTTTCTTCATTATATTTGTAATTATCTTTTTTATTTCCAGTAATACTGATTTTCTGTTAATAGCAATGACATAAACTTCCTCTTTAAATATATTGAGGCCAAAATGTTGGTAGATTTAGACAAAACAAGGTAGATGATACTCCAGCATGACAAAAAAGGGAATGAAAAAGATTGCATTGTAAGAAATCATATTCTGGTCCCTCCTAGCTTCCTAATATTTCAGTTACAGGAATTCCTTTATATAAATTCTAGCATATACCAGTCATAATCCTAAGCAGGTTCCCCTCTCCTAGACAATCTATAGAATCTGTTCAAAGTTAGAGGACAGCTTGAAGGTTCATTTTAATTGAGCATGTATTTATCATTTGGGTTGATTATTATAGGAGAATATGGAGACAAGTGAGATAGCTCCAGTGGTGAACCATCTGGAGGCTACTCTGTATTTTTGCCGTTTGTGAATTTGTGAAGTATATTCTGGGCCATGTTCATGGGCACTGCTCCACAGCTGTGATTCTTGATACCTTTAGGGAAATCTGCTCAGGGGTTCAGCGTAATCAGCTTCTAGAACTGAGAGAAGATGGGGTATTGGCATGGAATGTGGGCAAAGTGGGCTACAGAAATTGGTAATTGGTTTTTCTGCCTTTCAGGATTTTCCGGGAGAGAATCTTCATTCAAAGCTTTGCTGACCACTGAAGATGGCAAACAAGGGGCCCTCACCTTCTACATCCCCTGAGAACTCCAGTGCAGGGGGACCCAGTGGGAGCAGCAATGGTGCTGGTGAGAGTGGAGGGCAGGACAGTACATTTGAGTGCAACATATGCCTGGACACAGCCAAGGAYGCTGTCATTAGCCTGTGTGGCCATCTCTTCTGGTTAGTACCCCCGCTGCCATCCAAACACTGCCAAGTTTGGAAAGACTGTGGCTCTGGGCAACTTTGGAAAGATGGTTTCTCACCCACTTTGGGTCCTGAGACACTCAGACTCAAGGATTCGTAGACCTGCGTTTCTGTCCCAGCTCTGTTCCTTATGAGTTCAGTGACCTTGGGTAAATCCTATCTCCATCCTAGGCTGCTGCTCCTTATATCTTCGGTAATGATGTAATTTAGTGAGCACTTACTACCTGCCATTTGTGCAGAGCCTAGAGGCAGCAGAGTATAGTGGTTATGAGCAAGGACCAGGGAGCCAGACTCCGTCTTCTGAATCTTGATCCTACCACTTCTTACCAGATGACCTGGGACGAAGTGCTTACATGCACTCTGCCTCATTTTATAGGGTTGTTCACAAAATATGCAGCAAATACTATGTGTTAGCCATGACCATAATTGTTACTATATTTTATGTGTGTGTACATACATAACAATATAAAGTGGCAGGGTCAGTGTCTGTTCCAGCCTCAATGGTTACAGAAGTACCTGCTGGCTCTGAGAATCTGGGTGAATGTTGAGTTTTGTTTTTTTACTCTTGAGATTTGAGCTGAACATTGAGGGGTAATAATGGCAGGAAAGGTGAAAGATATGTGCTAACTTAAGCTCCGCCATTTCTAGGGACAGCCATGTGCACTATTGGGTTCATCTGAGACCCTGAGGCTCCTTCTATACTTCTCAAAGCACCCTGGATGAGGAAACAAGGGATTGTTGAGAGTTCAGCCAAATTATCAAACCCAGATTTGTTTAAGAGGATATAGAGTTAATGAATACTTTTGAGCAGGAAAATGGTGTGAAGAAAGGGTTATTTAAGCAGTATTTTAGAGGAGGTTAAATTGGCACCTGTGTAAAAGATAAATTTATTGATTTATTAATAGAATGGGGCAGAGATTTTGTTCTCAAGTCTCTCACCCTAATCATAGTTTTACATAGAAATCGTTACAAGTAATCAGCCTTATCCTAGAAGTTGGAGATACTTCAGAATACCATAAAACCACATTTAAAATGAGTGACAGAATTAAGGTCAGGTACCGTTGGAAAGAACATAGATTCTAAAAGGACGTTAGGCTTCCAGACTGGGTGGTATATGTTTTGGAAAATCTGCTAGCTTCTCTGTGCTTTAGTTTCTACATCTGTAAAATGGAAATAATTATACCCCCTGGTAGGTTAACATAATCACCCAGTACCATTAACAAATAAAAAGCTATTTGGCCACAGTCGTTGCTTAACAAATAAGAGGACTCCCCATCATTATAATCCTGAACTTTCCTCTGAGGGTCATTCATTCACCTCTACTTCTGGACAGCCTTTGAGAGAACTGCTAGTGAAGATCTGCCATGATCTTTAGGGTGCCTTGCATTTGGATCAGATCAGAATGGCATCCCAAGGTTAATGTTGAAGTCAGATGTGAGGTTTCTGTTATGTCTAGAAAGATTGTAGATCTAGTTTTGAAGCTAAATTGGTTCCAGAATTGGGAAAGGAGCTATCCTCTGAGTCCAAGTTTTACTTAGCTAGAAAAGATACATGATGTGCAAGGACATCCACATTTTCCACTGTCCTGACACACAGTAGGTAAACAATAGATTAAAAAAAAAAATTGGGGGGAGGCTGGGGATATAGCTCAGTTGGTAGAGTACTTCCCTTGCGTGTTCAAGGCCCTGGGTTCTAATCCCCAGCACCACCAAAAAAAAAAAAAAAAAATCCATGTGCTTGCTTCGGCAGCACATGTACGAAAATTGGAACAATACAGAGAAGATTAGCATGACCCCTGTGCAAGGATGACACGCAAATTCATGAAACATGGATTTTATTTGGTGTCAACATACCTTATATATCAGAGATATGATAAATTATGACATAGTGGTATATTAAGAATTGTAATGCAAAAATAAATAAATAAATGAATAAATATTAACAAAAAAATTTTTTTGTAATGGTAGACGGGCAGAATGCTTTTATTTTATTTGTTCATTTTTATGTGGTGCTAAGGATTGAACCCAATGACTCACACATGCTAGGCAAGTGCTCTGCCACTGAGCTACAGCCCGAGCCCAATGGTAGATATTTGTTGATCTATTTAATCAATGAGGGGGAGAGAGAAAAGAAGTATTAAGAATCTGGAGTTGAATGATTTTTTCCTTGAATTCTATAGATATAATTTTTTTGTATGCAGTGCTGGGTGTTGAAAGGGCAGTGAAGTGTAAGTCAGGAAACTTGGTTTTCACTCCTGGTACAAGTAATTGCTTGTTTCTGAGTCTTGGCTTTTTTCTCCTTTGAAAAATGAGACATTCTAAAGCTAGCCCATTTTGCCGTGTAGCCTCCCTGTCCTTTCCATTACTTAAATGTTTTTAGAATGTTTTTATGAATTTTTAAGCTACTTCCTGTCCCTTTTATTTTGTCCTCTCAAAGTGAGGACAGCATAAAGATTTTGTTAAGCTAGGCGTGAATTATCTCTTGTGAGCCTGAAATTAGGTGTAAAATAGTATGTGTATGCACGCACACTTTCGTGTACTTCATAAGAATGCTCCCAGGAATTTTTCTGCAGAGAATGCTTAGCTTTTATTGGATTCCTTCAGATGCTATAACCTTTCGAAGGCTAACTTTCAGAAAAGTTGGGTCTGGATGGTCTGGGCCCTGCAGGTCTGCAAGTGTAGTGGGATCCTAGTTGTGAAGCCCGAGATCTTGTCTTCACTATTTTGTTTTTCCTGTGATTTTTATCCCAGTCTTTTTCTAGTTTCTRATGCCAGTGATTCCTGCAGAACCTCAGTGGGGACACAATGCCCCCGCTTCCCCCATTTTTCCCATTCTGATGTTCCTACCTTGTTCATCAAATGTTTCTGCTAATGAAAGCATTTTTCTTCCTTTTCCCCTTTCTAACCTTCTCCTTGATGGCTGGTTGCCCTGGGGACTCTGGCAGTTGGCCATGTTTACATCAGGTAAGATGCATTTCATTTTACTCTTGTCTTTCATCAGCTATGGTTGCACAAGACAGCCCTTGTCTCGGGAGACTGCTGTCAGAATCTGCAATCTCCCTTGCTTCTGGGCTCATTTGCATGCTTACCCCCCAACCCTTTTTACATACCTGCCCACTGACAGGCACTTGATGAAATAAGGAGTTATTGTGGTACCCAGAATGGTCCTGATTTTGCTACTAGTGGCCATTGTAGCCTTAGTTACCACCTCTCTGGATCTCAATTCCTCATTTGTGAATTGGGCTAGATTTGATAATACGTTGGGTCCTTTTTATTTTTTAGATTCTCCATCTATAAAAAGTACTTCCTACCTTTAAAGTTCTTTTTTATTTTTCTATTTTTATTTTTATGTGGTGCTAAGGATCAAACCCAGTGACTCAAGTATATGAGGCAAGCACTTTGCTGTTGAGCCACAACCTTGCCCTAAAGTTCTTGAAAATGTTAAGAAGGGGTAAATTTTATTTTGGTAGCAACAAAGAGCTTTTGTAAAGGAAGAAAGTCTGTTTTCCCAGTTTTCACTCATTGTGAAGACCAATTAGTATTCACCAAGACCCAGATACCATCTTGGTGAGACAGAGCTGGGCCTGATATTCACAATTGCCTGTGAATAATTACTGCCAGCTGACTGTCTCCATGGTTGTTGGTAGTAGAACACCCACTTGTAGGTGACCACACTCATAGGTGACTTAGGAATGTGAGGAGAGGATAAGTTTCAGATTGCTAGAGCCTGACTCTTTTTTTTTTAAATATTTTTTTTAGTTGTAAATGGACACAATGATTTTATTTTATGATTTTTTTAATGTGGTGCTGAGGATTGAAGCCAGTGTCTCACATGTTCTAGGCGAGCACTCTCCCACTGAGCCACAACCCCAGTCTGAGCCTCAGACTCTTGATGGGAGAAAGAAGAGGGACTTAGGGCTGAGCACTCTAACCATAGTGGAACCTCATAGAACATGTTGGCTGTGAGCTTATGACGAGCACATAAGTTTTGGAGCCATTGACAGATTGACAAAGTAGGATATAAAAATCATTAAGTGCTGCCAATTCTATATTCCTGAGCCCTGGGTACACATTTATAATATAACTTCATATCATTGGATCTAAACATGCAATTATTTATGTTCTGAAAAAATGTTTAAGGGCTGGGAGTATAGTTTAGTGGTGGGATGTGTGCTTAGCTTGTGCAGGGTCTTRGGTTTGATCCCTAGCATCAAAAATAAAACTTGAGAAAAAATATGTATGAAATTATCTAATGTCTATAAAGATACTACAGTGTCTTTTTTTAATCATTTTTTGTTTGTGTATATGTTTTTTTGTTGTTGTTGTTTTGTTTTCCACTAAACTATATACCCAGCCCTTTTTAATTTTTTATTTTCAAGACAGGGCTTCATTAAGTTGCTGAAGCTGATCTTGAATTTGCAGTCTTCCTGCCTCAGCATCCCATATTGCTTGGAATTACAGGCATGCGCCATAGGCGTGTGCCATCTTGTTCATTTTTAAGAAAATTAAACAAAATGTCTTTAACCAATGAAAGGGCCTGGGAAACCCAAAACAGGGTGTTGTGGGGGTTTTGTTGTTGTTTTTTATATATATATATACATATATATTTTAGTTGTAGGTGGACATATATCTTTATTTTATTTTTATATGGTGCTGAGGAACCCAGTGCCTCACTCATGCTAGGTGAGCACTCTACCACTGAGCCACACTCCAGCCCCTTGTATTGACATTGAAATAATTGAATGCAAAAGTTACTGACAGTTTATAAAAAATCAAATTTAGATAATGAACTAAATATATTCTTTAACACATGGTAAATCACCAGAAAATGATCTGCTTATGTTCAGGTGCTGATGTCTAGGACACACAGTTGTTGGGGAAATGCTGTAAAAATAAGAAATCACAGAAAGAAAAATATCACTTACATAAGGATAATATACTTGACCCTTTGGAGAAAGTGGAAACTAATTTATTTTTGTGGTACTGGGAATCAAACCACGGCCACCACACACATGCTAGGCAAGCATTCTACCACTGAGCTATGTTCCCAGCCTGGAAAATGGAAAGTTCATTATACCCACATCAGTAGTCTAACCTGAGATTGGGTATGGCAGACGCCTTGGCAGCTTGAGGCTTGCAGCTCCTCCTTGCTGTATTGCTAGCAACCCCGAGAGAGAGAGAGAAAGCATGAAGAAGCTGACTTTAATTATTATGGCATTTAAAGGCAATTTCAATTTTGCCACTAGTAAATATTTATTGAGTACTAGGTACAGGAATCAGAGTCAGATTTCTCAGGGTATTACTGATTTTGCTGGTGTTTCCCATTTGAGGCCTCTGGCCCATGTTCTCCTACTGCTTCTAATCATTCTGTGGTGGGCCTTCAACCATTCATGCATTTTTCTGTCCTGCTTGCAGTGGCTGGAGACCAGACCTAATAGACAGGTGTGTCCAGTTTGCAAAGCTGGTATCAGCCGAGACAAGGTCATCCCTCTCTATGGAAGGGGCAGCACTGGGCAGCAGGATCCCAGGTGAGGACTTGAATGTCTCTCATACCCACTTCATCCCTTGGATATTAATTCACTTCCATTCAGCACCCCCAAACCCCACCCTTTACTTAGTGCTTGATGATCACTTGGTTCTGAGGCAGTTTGATCCAAATGAGAATCAGCCAGTTATGGTGAGGGAGTGGCCATTTACTGGACTATAATAGATAACCACTGAGTGTCATTTACCCAATAGGCAGTATGCTGGGCCTGGGGACCCAGGAGTGCACAAGACACCACAATTGCAAGTGTGCAAAGTGCTGTGAAAAAGCACTCCCTGCAGCCTTCGAGGCAGGCTGTGTATATAGCAGGAGAGTCTCAAAATGCTCAGCAATGATGTATAAAGTGTGGAGGGAGGGGGAATAAGCAGCCTGGGTGACTTTGTGGAGTTCAGAATTTCTAGAAATGGAGATGTGGGTGACTGCAGCATTCTACAAGTATTGAAAGCCCTTCATGGTTTGTTACCTCCAACCTTTCCTGAAATGTCACTTACCTTCTCCCATCCCATCCCATCCCAACATACCCAGTACACCAAACATACTGGACCTTTCCTAAAGGAACCTGCCCTTTCACATTCATTAGCCTTTGTGTTTGAGTTCTGCTCTGCCTCTTCTGCCTTTTCTACTCCTACTCAAACCAGCACTCCACTCCTACCTCTTTCTCTAATGTTACCCATCTTTTATGAACAGCTTGAAAGTCACTTCCTTCTTGAAGTGGTCATTTTTTCCCACATGAGTTGTTCTCATCATTCTCTGGTAATCCTTCTCACACTGCATTATGATTTGATGAATCCCCTTTGAAATTGTCTTTACCTCAAGAATAAGATCTGTCAGTCTTATTATTCTGTCTAGGGCCTCATATGTAACAAGTCCTCAGTCAGGCATTTCTAAATGATCAGAGGGTTTGAAACTGAGAGGCCTAAAGAATAGCATGGGGTCTTTAAGCTAAAGTCAATAAGGACAGTGCAGAGAGACCTTGAATCTCAGTACTCTCAGCTGTTAAATTTCAGTTTGGCTTTGGGATTTTTGGTATCTATGAGCCCAGTATCTTATAGGTCCAGGGAAGACGATGACTACCATCAATAACCAGTATGGGTCAGGATCTCTGTAAGAGGAATAGCCTGTAGTGCTATTTATAGGTAAAATAAAGAGTTCGCATTTAGTTTATCCTACATAGTTTATGTATGGGCAGGAAAAATGGCTGGGGCCCTGATCCTCTTGGCTTCCAGTTCTCATAGTGAGCAACTCAAATCATGTTGTAATAGACTTATTTTATACCGTTTCTTTTTCAGAGAGAAGACTCCTCCTCGTCCTCAAGGCCAGAGGCCAGAGCCGGAGAATAGAGGGGTAAGGAACATTCAAGGAGAAGCTTCTAGAAAGCCCATGGCTTTAGAAATTTCCCTATTGACCCTACATTTTTTTCCCCTTGATTATAAAAGTAAAGGAAAACTTGTAGAATACAGAAAAGAGAAAGAGGGAAAATAATCAAATCATCCAGAAATAACAGCTGGAAATGTGGTCTTTTTCCTTTTCCATTTTTCTTCTTTTAACAAGGCGAAAGGGTTATTGTGCATGTGTTTTTCTTTTTCTTTCTTTCTTTTTGTTTTTGGTACTGGAGATTGAACCCAGGAGAACTTTACCACCAAGCTACATCCCCAGTCCTTTTTACTTATATTTATTTTTATTTGAAGACAGGGTCTCATTAAATTGCTGATAGTTCCACTAAGTTTCTGAAGCTTTCCTTGAAGTTTTGATTGTCCTGCTTCAGTTTCTCAAGTAGGCATATGCCACTATACCCTGCTTGTGGCTGTATTTCTATAATTCTATAAACACATAAATTTTATTCATTGTGTTTACATTGATCTATTTTATAATATGAATCCTTTGTTACTCCTTTAAACTTCTTGGGGCTGGGATTGTGGCTTGGTGTCAGAGCACTTGCCTCACACATATGAGGCCCTGGGTTTGATCCTCAGCACCACATAAAAATAAGTAAATAAAATAAAGGTATTGTGTCCAGAAAAAAAAATCTATTTATTCTACAAATAGTAAGTGACTTATGTGTTCCAGGTGATTTATCAATGAACATAGCAAAGACACCTGTTCTTGTGTAGTTCATACCATTTGAAATTAAAGACTTTCAACAGTATAACTTAAGATTTTACTGAAGATAATTTCCCATTAATACTTGACATAATGGCTATTTAGTATTCAGTTGTGTGGACCCAACATAATTTATGTAACTAATCCTTCATTAGAAATTTAGCTGCTTCCTTTTCTTTTTCTATTTTAAAAATATTCTGTTGGGGGCTGGGGTTGCTACTCAGTGGTAGAGCGCTTGCCTAGCATGTGTGAGGCACTGGGTTCGATTCTCAGTACCTCATATAAATAAATAAAATAAAGGTCCATTGACAACTAAAAAATACTTTTTAAATATTCTGATGGATTTACAATTTTGTTTTGTTTTGTTTTGATTTGATTTTGGTATTAGGGATTGATCCTACAAGCACTTAACCACTGAGCTGCATTTCCAGTCCTTTTTATTTTGAAACAGGGTCTTGCTAATTTGCTTAGGGCCTTCCTAATTTGCTGGCCTCAAACATTCAATCCTTCTGCCTCAGCCTCCTGAATCACTGGGAATACAGGCATGTGCTACCATGCCAAGCTCAGATAAAATTTTGAGTAGATTTAGCCGGGCGTAGTGTAATCCCAGAGACTCTGGAGTCTGGGGCAGGAGGATCACAGCCTTAGCAACTTGATGAGATCCTAAACAATTTAAGGAGATCCCATCCCAAAATAAAAAAATAAAAAGGGCTAGAGATGTAGCTCAGTGGTAAAGCAACCCTGGGTTCAGTACCATAAATAGATAAGTTAAAACTACAATGATGATCTTTGCACACATTTCTTTTTTTTCTAACTTGAATTAAGTATTATTATTATTATTATTATTATTATTATTATTATTTATTTTTTTATTTTGGTGCAATGCTTGGATCTAACCAAGGATCTCTCATAGGCTATGTGAGTGCTCAACCACTGAGCTATATCCCTAGCCCCCAAGTCATGGATCTATTGTGTTTTGTATTATTGTTGTTGTTGTTGTTGTTATTGGGATTGAACCCAGGGCACTTAATAATTGAGCCATATACCCAGCCCTTTTTATTTTTTATTTTGAGACAGGGTCTCACTAAGTTGCTGAGGCTGGCTTTGAACTTGTGATTCTCCTGCCTGAGCCTCCTGAGTCGCTGGGATTACAGGTGTACATCACTGCACCTGGCCAAGTCAGAATTCTTGATAGAAATTAAGAGGGTCCTCTCTGTATTGCCTGTTAGCAATGAACACTTGTATGATTGTTAATGGGAAAAACTATATGATAGGGCTGGGATTGTGGCTCAATGGTAGAGCGCTTGTCTAGCATGTGCGAGGCCCTGGGTTCAATCCTCAGCACCACATAAAAATAAGTAAATAAAATAAAGGTATGGTGTTCACCTACTTCTAAAAAATAAAAAAAAAATTATAAAACTATATTATGATCTCATTTAAACCTCCCACTAACCCATTTAAAAGATGAAACTGAGGCCCAGATAGGTGAAGTGACCTGTCCAGGGCCATACATAAGACAAAAACTCAGATCTGGCTAGTATTTAAGTCCCCACTCTTAACTTCCAGGCAACAGTCCTTTAAACTTAGGCTCTAACTTCTCATGAAGCATTAGCAACTAATGTAAATCAAAGGCCCCAGGAAGCCAGAGACCCTGGCCTTGAAGACTTTGGGGCCCAGTTCTAGCATTCACAAGCACTTGCAGCCTCTAGTGATGCAATGTATTTTGCATACTCTGCCCCAGAAACATAAACCCACCAAATGGGAGGATTTGTGAGATCACATAGGTGTTACTAGAAGGAAAGCAGGAAGGTCAGTCCTCAGGATTGCACTCAGTGAAGCTGTGGTTCCTGATGAAACAATTGCACCTTTTCCAGTAAGGCAACTTCAGTCCCAGGAGACTCAACCAGGCTAGGTCTGAGAAGAAGGCATTTGTGCAGCAAGGGGATGGAAACAAAATGTTTTTCTTCCCTATAGGTTTGCCCTCTAACTAAATCACCTATTAGGTTTTATAGGTAGTACCACATAGCAAGAAGTTTGGAGTCAGATGCTAGGCTGCTCAGTATGGGACACTTTTGTAATTTGCAAAAGTTTCACAAATACCAGCTTTTTTTGGAAAATGGTTGGCCCAATATTTTTTTTTATTTTATTATTTCTATTATCATTTGTTCTAAAGATCTTGTTAGGGATTCAGGGGCAGAGAAAAAAAATAAGGTGTGTAAAGTAATTTTTAGGTTAGATTAACCTACTTTTAGATCTAAACTCTACCCCTTGATTATTCTACCTCTCCAACCCACAGTTGGTCTCTATAAAGTGCAGATGATGCTACTATAAGAATTAAACATGATTTGTGTATCCCAGAGTTTTAACACTGTGCTTGGCACAGAATTTGCACTTAGAAAAATGGAGTTACTGCCGGGCATGATGGCACATGCCTGTAATCCCAGCAGCTCAGGAGGCTCAGGCGGGAGGATTATGAGTTCAAAGCCAGCCTCAGCAATTTAGCAAGGCCCTAAGCAACTCATCGAGACCCTGTTTCAAAAAAAAAAAAAAAGGTGGGGGGCTGGGGATGTTGCTCAGTGGTTAAGCACCCATGGGTTCAATCCCTGGCACAAAAATAAATAAATAGATAAGGGAGTTACTCACAATATTATAGTTTCTACTGAATCTTTTCATGTGAACGATGATACAGTGACACATAGAAAAAAAAATGAGGATAATATACCAAACTTTTGACAGTGGTTATTTGGGAGGATCCAAGGGTAAATAGAAACCTGATTTGCTCAGTTATTCCCATAATGTGTGAATTTCTTGTAACAGCGTGTATTACTTTTACAATCAGAAAAGGTTAAAATGTTTTAAATTTTAGAAACAAAAAAATTTAAATATTTAGATTTATAAAAATTCTACATAATAATATTAAAAGAGGGGAATGGCTGTGGGCTCAGCAGAAGTGCACTTGCCTGGCATGTGTGAGGAACTGGGTTCGATTCTCAGCACCACATATAAATAAATAAAATAAAGGTCTATCAACAACTAAAAAAAACTTTTTAAATAATAATATTAAAAGAAATTTCAGGCAAGTGGGCATGCCTGTAATCTCAGCAACTCAGGAGGCTGAGGCAGGAGGATCACAAGTTCAAGGCTGGCCTCAAAAACTTAGTGAGATCTTGTCTCAAAATAAAAAATTAGGACTGGGGATGTGTGCTGGCGTTGTGGCTCAGTGGTAGAGCGCTCGCCTAGCACGTGTGAGGCCCTGGGTTCGATCCTCAGCACCACATAAAAATAAATAAATAAAATAAAGATATTGTGCCCAACTACAACTAAAAAAAAAAAAAAAAAGAAGAAGAAGAAGAAGGACTGGGGATGTAGCTCAGTTGCAGAGTGCTCTTAGCTTCTGTCCCCAGAAACCACCCCTCCTCCACAAAAAATACTTTTGAGAGAAAATGTTGGTATCCTGTCTACATGTTGTCATGTACTTGTGACCATGATGTCCAAACAATTTTGTCTGATAACTTGGACATAAGAGTTTTTCTGTTTGGCTACATAAGTCAGCATAATGGTCCTTGGGGAGCATATTATCATGATTTTGATCGTGACTTCCATTTCTGGCCTGTTAGGTTCCAACTAAATAATTTGTAGCTTATTTTGATACTCTTTCGTAATGGGACGTGGGGGTAATTGAATTGTGTGTTATATAACATGTAGAAAATTGTACTAGCTAATGTGGGACTCTAGAACATGTAGAAAATTAAACTAACTAATGTGGGACTCTAGAATTTAAGAACCTTAAGTCCTAAGAACCTGAGTTTCATCAGCACAGTGGTTCTCTTTTATATGATCTTGTCTTTTTTGGCATATTCATAGTTCCATAGCTTGGAGCTAAGGCTATATGGACAGAGGATCCACCAGAGTTCCTCTGCTTTGGGGTCTAAATAGGAGAAAAAGATGATTCTTACCCTTGGAAATAGGTGGCAGAGAGTATAGAGGAGTGTAAGGTTCTGTATAAAATAGAGCATGTAAGATGTGCCATTGCATATGTATAGGAGAGACATGCTCATTTTTCCTCCTCTTAATTGCTTTTCTTCCATATAGGGATTTCAAGGATTTGGATTTGGAGATGGTGGCTTCCAGATGTCTTTTGGAATTGGAGCATTTCCTTTTGGGATATTTGCCACAGCATTTAACATAAATGATGGGCGGCCTCCTCCAGGTAAGTTTTGTTTTCTTGAGAAATCAGGAAGATATTTTAGTAATCCTGCTTGAAAGCTCCTTGGAATTCAGCAATATATAAATTACAGATCATTGTCACTGTATGTATAACCAGCCTTTTCAAAGTGTCTTAAATTCTTTTTATGTTACTGGTACTCATGCCAGTATTCTGAGCACTTACCAGGTGTTAGGCACATGCATTGTGTTTTCATTCCAAACTGAAGGAATCATCACAACCACCATGTAGAAATGTATACAGATGACTCTGATTTACAGATCAGAAAATGTTCAATAATGTTTACCAAGACATATCCCATGTCTGTAAAATGAAAAATGATAATAAATGATACCCAACTGAGGAAAAGCCTAATCTTGTACATGTACCTCATTTTGACCATATTGGGATAGGAAGGAGTGAGGCAACGCACAAGGAGGTAGGGCCTCTGTTCTTTTGCATCTCTGTCCAGCCTACCTGACAACACAACATGGGCTAGTCCAAGTCTTGGCCCTTTAGAAATCATGCTATATCTGCCACCTGCTGCTTCATTTCTCTTCCAGCTGCTTGACAGTGCCAGCTGAGCAAGTCTATCAGGTGAATGCCCTGGACTCTTACCACACTCTGACACTGAAGCCAAGATCTGTATTATAGGGCCTACAGAGATGTTAAGCTCAGTTGAGCTCTGCTTGCACTCATTGTTTGCACTTGGCACAAAGGAGGGTACAGAAGTGACCAAAGTATTGTTCTGGTAAAGAACTTATGCTGTAGAGATGGTAACCCATTCAGAAGTCATTCTAGTTTTTCCCTGTGCCACTCCAGTACTTGGCATATAGCAGGCAATCAATAAGAGTTAATAAGAGTTTGTTGACTGCCTGCCTACATGAATTTATCAGAACACCTAACTGGGGAATGCAGTGTAGCATCAAGAGACAGTGGGTGTATTCTTCCTTACCTTATCCACCTGGAAAGTTTCTCCTCTGTTCACATGTCATTTTCTCCAAGGAAGGAAACCCAAAAGGACAAAATGACAGAAAAGTGGATTTCTGGGGAGGCAGCAGGAATCTGCCTCATAGCTTGCTTCCTTCTAACCTGATCCAAGGTTCACCCTGGATTCTCCAGTTAGTTTCACAATCAGACTTTGGATCTTTTTATTTGCCCCATGCAGTCACAGTTTTTATGTGAGCACTGTGGTGCATGCCTGTAATTCCAGTGATCTTGGAGCCTGGGGCATGAGGATCACAAGTTTAAGGCTAGCCTGGGCAACTTAGTAAGACCCTATCTCAAAATGAAAAATAGAAAGGGCTGGCAAGTAACTCAGCAGTTAGAACACTTGCCTAGTATGTGTGAGACCCTGAGTTTAGTCCCTAGTACTATACACACTAAAAATTAACTTTAAAAAAAGAAGAAGAAATGAAGATTGATGCACTTGACTTCTCACCCAAATGGGTAGTGTGCACAACTGGAGCCTTCTAACAGCCTCTTTTCCCTCCTGTCTCTCCAGCTGTCCCTGGGACACCTCAGTATGTGGATGAGCAGTTCCTGTCACGCCTTTTCCTGTTTGTGGCCCTGGTGATCATGTTCTGGCTCCTGATTGCCTAATGCCAGGCTCCTGTCTATATCCACAGCAGGTCCTCTGGATTGGTGATGTGCCACCCCTACTCCTGGTGTTTGGCTTCCTGGCTAACCCTGACCTCTGGAAACAGTGGGGTCAGTAACACTTCAAGGAGTCTTGCTCTTTCATCAGAGCTGTGGAACTCAAGACCAGTTGGCGAATACTCCCAAGTATCAGCACTGCTGTAAACACCTTTCTCTAATCTCAGGCCTTGGTGTTGAGTCCCCACTCATGGGTAGCACCATGAAATCCTGTTCCAGACAACTCAGCAGGTCCTGACTCTGCACAGGGAAGAAGTGGGAAGAAAGAAACTATCAGAGTGCAATTTCACATAAGTTTTATACAAAAACAAAGGGATGAACCAAATGGTATTTATGAAAATTTTCTTTCATCTCTTTAAATTCCCTTGTTAAGTAGCTTCTGAAGCCAGTGGAACCTGGAAAGCTTCCAGATCCCAGTGCTGCTCTGTCCCCCCGCACCCACCCCTCGCACATCTTCTTCAGCAGAGATATAGAATCTACTGTCCCAGGAAGATCATAATCACAGCAGCTGAAACTAAAGTCACTTCATGAATTCACCAGAGACCCAGAGATCCCAAGGCTCTAGGCCTTACTCTTTGGCCCCAGAGAGCAGCTTGAATGACCTCTTCGTTTCCTGGTATAGATTGGCCCTTATGAGACATGTCGCTTCACTCACAAATTTCCCATCAGCTTTCCCCTTAAAACTATGCATCTGCTTCTCTTTGCCAGAGGCAAACAGCCTATACTACTGCTGAAACTCGGGACTGCATTAGAAATGACCTGGAGTTGGGCCTTTGGTGGGATTCAGAGCTTTGACGCAGGAACAACTGGAACAAGTGGCCCTATCCCCTAGGCCACAGAAGCTCTGAGTGCTTTTTCTCCCAGAACTTGCCCAGAGGAAACTGGAGGCTTTATCAAGTCAGCCTAGCTGCTTGTGGAAGACAACCACGTCAGAAGCCAAGTTGTCCTTTATGAAGAGGCAGGTTGGGGAAAAACCCATCTGTGAACCTGATTTTGGTGTGGCTTGATAGAGTCCCTTGAAAACTCCTTGTATGTGTGCTAAAACCAAGGAAGCATGTGCCTCCTGATCAGGCAACATCTAATGATTTGTAAAGCCAGGTAGCAGGGCCCAGGGAATCTCAGCACAGTAKCGAAATGTGATGATCTTTCCTGTATAATCCAGGGGAAATGATTCTTCCTAAGTTCTTGTTATGTTTTTTGATTTCATAAACTTATTCATCTGAATCTGATAGTAGGAGTGTGGTGCTAGGCAGGTAGGGCAGTTTACCTAGTGGGATAATTCTTGTTCTTCCTGCCAGGCTTCATCTAATTTTCTAGAGACATTGATGGTGAAAGGATATGGACTTCTGCTGGGGCCTCTGGCTCACTTTGCTAGTCCACACTTTCCTGGCTCACCACTAGCAATAGTAGAAAAGCCCCACCTGGTGCTTTTTTTAGATATGGCTCTGCATAATTTAAGGAAACCAAGACCTTGAAGACGATAAGGGAAGCCATCCTCCCTTCTGCATGGTCCCCGACCCTTTCTCCTTTGCACCTGCCAATGCCAGAGTTCAGTGTTTAAACAGATAAAATATAAAGTATTGAGTGATTCGTTTGCTGAATCCACTTGGTAGGAATAAGCCACTAGCTTTATAATGTGCCTGATGGATTTTAAACGTTCTTGGGCACCCCCTCAAGAATACTTCTTTAAATCACCTTCTGGAGATCCCCAGTCTCAAAGGCCCCTAGAGTATCTACTCTAGAGGCAATTGATGGCATCTCTCAGTGCAGTGGCCCCAACTAGTGGAGAGAGAGAGAACTTCAGTCAGACAAACAGAAATGGGTTTCCAGAAGAAAGAAAGTTGTAGGTAGGATGACAACTCATTTGGATTCTTTAATTAATTGGAGTGAGCCCGAGAAAACTCCACCAGCAAAGATATTCCAGGAACCTATTGGCAAAGTCAGGTTGGCCATGTGCCCTTTGTAAACTTAATAGGTCCCACTCACCCTCTTCAAGGCTCTGGGGCAGAAAAGCCAACTTGGGACTGTTAGTCCAGCCTAACAGGACCCATTTCCACCATCTCTCTGAAGGCCACTTATCCCTCTGCCAAGGCAGCTTTCTTTTGTATATGTTTTCTGTGCCCCTCAGCCTCCACACTCCTTTCACCTTCGTGGATTAAAACCCAGTCCTAACCACAATCAGAAAATGGCAATATGTACAGTGGCACACCTTGACCAGTCACTAATTTTCACTGTTGTGAAAGTAATTTGATTTAGAATTAAACAAATGATTTTATATTACTGTGAGTTTGAACTTCATGTCTGTGTCATGGGAGGTGAATGGGTGGGGAGTGGTTACACTGGTCTGGCCTCTTGGGAAGCACCTATATAGCCATGATAATGTTCTTGGTAACTAAGGATAAAAGTCTTCAAACAACTGTCAATAATTAGAGATGAGAAGTATGGGCTGGAGGCCTGGCTTTATGTACAGCCCTGCCCAAGGTACAACCTGTCTGACAGGCAGCCCCAGTCCTAACAAGTGTGTTGAATTTCTGAGTTTGCAGGCAACAAACTGCCATGAGGGACCTTGACTTGAAGCCTATCAGAACCTTTAGTATATTTGCTGGTTTTTCAGTGTCAGCTCTACATTTCAGTGTCAGGACAGGTGGGCCTTCAGTCAAGTCCTCTCCCTTTAGCAGGGGGTATGCCCCTCCCTGAGGGTCCTCAGTAACAGAGTGTTGTGTGAGAGAGAAAATGTTGAGGTTACAAGTCTGGTGTAGGCTCTCCAATACACCAAAGCTACAAGTAGTCATTCAGAAAACAGCTCATTTCTTCCCCTTAGACATTAATCTAATAGTTACCTAGTTGAACAGTGTTAAGATACAGTAGGGGCCAGGCATGGTGGCACATCCTTGTAATTCCAGCAACTTGGGCGCTGAGGCAAGAGGATCACAAGTTTGAGGCCAGCCTCAGCAATTTAGTGAGATCCTGCATCAAAATAAAAAGGGCTAATGATGTAGCTCTGTAGTAGAGCACCCCCAGGTTCAAGTTCAGTAGTGTAAAAATAAATAAGCAATAAATAAAAGATACACTGTGTAGGAAAAGAAGGGAGACAACAACTTCTGGAGCTAATTTGGATCTTCAGATCACCCTTAACTAAATATTATTTAAAATTATAAGAAAACTAGAGGAATTTGAGCAATGATTGGATGCATGAGATCTGTTAAGGGTTGATGATGATGATGATGATTTTGGGTACCAGGGATTGAACTCAGGGGCACTTGCCCATCGAGCCACATCCCAGCCCTATTTTGTATTTTATTTAGAGACAGGGTTTCACTGAGTTGTTTAACACCTCATGTTTGCTGAAGCTGGCTTTGAACTCACAATTCTTCTGCCTCAGCCTCCCAAGCCACTGTGATTACAGGCGTGTACCACCCTTCCTGGCAGGATGATTAATTTAAAAATTTTTTTCACAATACCTTTATTCAATTTATTTTTATGTGGTACTGAGGATTGAACCCAGGACCTCACATAGGCTGGGCAAGCACTCTACCACTGAGTTATAGCCCCAGCCCAAGGGATGATTAATTTTTAAGGTGTGTAAATACATACCTTAGGGAACTTGAAGAATTCATAGGCCCAATAAAATAACAGAATTTTTGTTTTCAGTGGAAAACAACAAAACATACAAAAAGTAGTCTAGGACAATAAAGTCTAGTCAATTCAGGTGTAGTCCTGTTGCATGTATACCCTTCTGATACTGCTCCTCCACCTACCTGAACTCTTGGAAGCAAATCTCAGTCATATATTATCCTTGCATGTTGCAATATGCATCTCAAAGATAAGGATTTTTAAAAACATCCCAAGGGCTGGGGTATAGCTCGGTGGTAAACCATTTGCCTATTGTGCATGAGACCTTGGGTTTGTTTCTTAGCACTACCAAAAAAAACCAAAAAACTACCATTTATATACATTAAAAATTAATAATCCCAGGCTGGAGTTGTGGCTCAGGGACAGTGTGCTCGCTTAGCATTCATGAGGCACTGGGTTCAATCCTCAGCAACACATAAAAATAAAGATATTGTGTCCACCTAAAACTAAAAATAAATATTTTTTTAAAAAATTAATAATCCCTTAACAGGTCTCATATATCCAATCACTGCTCAAATTCCCTTAGTTGTTTCATAACTTTTTATATAGTTATTTGAAGGTGATTTGAGGATCCAAATCAGCTCCATAAATTGCTATTGTTTTTCTCAAGTTTCTTTTGCAGTTTATCTTTTATTTATTATTTATTTATTTTTGCAGTACTGGGCTTGAACCCAGGGGTACTCTACCACTGAATTACATCCCCAGCCCTTCTTATTTTTGAAACAGGGTCTCACTAAGTTGCCAAGGCTATCCTCAAACATGGAATCTTCCTGCCACATCCTCCTGAGTCTGGGATTACCAACCTGTGCCACTGTTCCCAGTTACAGTTATCTTGTAAAGAAGCCAGTTAAATACAGAAAATTGGTTGTAATATTAAGTCCCTCAGGCTGAGAGACTTGGCTCAGGCTCTGCACACCCCAGCAAAGGGGTGCTGCTTGAAATTGAGAGGCCGGGAGTATTCTCTAGAGTAACAGAGCCATTTCCGTTCCTTTTGTACACTGTGAAATAACAAAGCATGAAAAGCAGAAAGAAGTGAATATCACCACCCATCCCACTGCCTGGCAGAAAGAGCCACCCTGTATGGAAGAGTACCCATCTACATCTAAAGGCTTGACTAGATTCAAGTTTGATTTTTTTTTAATAAGACTGTCTCATCAGTAACAACATACACTTGTCATATCTTATCAGGAGCTATGTAATAAATCTTGTAGTTCCTCTTTAGGATATTAGCAGCCATTAATGATCATTGTATAGAACAGCATGTCCAATAGAACTTTCTGCATTGATGTAGATATTCTGTATTGGCACTACCCAGCACAGTAGCTCCTAGCTATATGTGGCTATCAAGCACATGAAATGTTACTAGTGGACTGAGGAACTGAATTTTTCCATCTCCATTTTCTATAGTTTGATCTTTATTTTTTCACCCACCTTAATTTAAATAGCCACATGTGGCTATCATACTGGAACAGTACAGATTTATATTAATCAACAGGGATTGCAAAATGATAAAATAACAATAATGTTTTTAGAATTCAGGAACAAGACCACTTCTGGGCAAATAGGGATAATGAAATTAAAACATGGAGAACTGTTGTAGGAGTGGCAGGGAAACGCAAGGACAAAAAGTGCTCATGAAAAAGTTATGGGGTGAAGGAAATAA